CTCTCTCTCTCTCTCTCTCTCTCCCAGATACTGCAGCAGGGTTCAACATTCAGAAGTGTTGCTCCTTTATGCCAATAAAATGTCCCGCTGACAAGTAAACTGAAGTAATGTTGTTGTTGAATAAAGAACCACACCAAGGATGATGATGATGATGATGATGATGATGATGATGATGATGATGATGATGATGATGATGATGATGATGATGATGATGATGATGGTGATTGCTTCTGTCCCTTCTTGTTCACATTGGCGGGTGTTTGGCAGTATTGATGATATCGAGAATGAAGTTACATCTAAGAACAAAACGTCGCCACAAGAAAAGACGACAAGTTCGTCATTTGACGGCAGCCTGCGGGGAAGTTGGGCACTCTCGAGAGCGCCCTTTCTTACTTCCCCTGTCTGTGTCACCGCGCCGTGGAATCAGGCTCTCGTCTATTTGGGGGGGGCATATGGAAAAACTGGTATCATCTTAAAGCTTGTTCATTTGTCTTGATTTCGATAAAAGAATGTCCTATCTTGAATAGAAGTCAAAATATTTCAGATTGAAGTAGGTGGGGGTCACCTGGTTTCAGATGTAAAACTAACAGGAAAATGGCTGTCAAAAAGCTTGAGAGTCCTTGAAAACTGCAAGTTCGCATTTCATGTACCTTTAAACAAAGTTTTTCAGTAAAATCCACTGAAATGTGTTTTTTAATAGACACTAAAGGTGTTAAGCCAAAAAAAATTCAATTTAAAAATTGCCAAACCAGCGTAAAAATGCTAAGTTTCCTCAATTTCATGTTTTTGACGAGCGCCTGATTTCTCCACGCTGCCTCGCATTTAGTAAGCGCAACAACAGGTCGGGTTTGGCTGTCGTCAGAGCCTGTTGTAGACCCCGAGGCCACATTTCTGTGAGGCTTGTCGGAAATAGAACTCGAGGAGGAGAACGGATTTTTTTTTCTATAGCGTCCGTCCAAAGCAAATTTTACCATAATCGTGTTGAGGTTTTCGAAAAAAAAAATCTTTTTTTGCGATTTCCCCTTTACGAGAACAGTTCACCTAGCAGTTAAAGTTCCATCTTCTAAGAGACTGTATCAGTTATTCCTGCAGTCTAGCAGAGAAGAAGAATATATTACAGTGAAACTGTGCAATGCTAGTGACTATACTAAGAATTGAAAGCGCCCAGCCTTCAAAAAAATGAGGGGGAAATGATAAAACATACACACAGATGTGCATCGCATGCTCTCAGAACTGAGTTCTTGTTGGAAATTAACAACAACAACGACAAGAACATCAACAACAGTAACAACAACAACAACAACAAAAACAACTACAACAACAACAACAACATCTACAACAGTAACAACAACAACAACAGCTACAACAACAACAACAACAACAACTACAGCAGCAGCAGCAACAGCAACAACAACAACATCAACAACAAACCGGTGTATCCATTCCCGCATCTCGAATTGGAAACAGATGATGTAGCTGGATATAAATAGCTTGTTATTTTAATACCCAAGAGGAGTCGTTGTTTTGTTCAAACATATACTAACTTTGTAAAGCTCAGAATGTCGATTCCAAGCGAAATTCATCCAGAAAACGGCTGACTTATTGGCTGAGAAGGTGGGCTCACTTGTCGACTTTGAGCTGGAGTGAAACAAGTCACGGAGTGGCAGTTGTCTATTTGTAGACAAAGTTGTGGGTTACATCTGTCCATTTTCAGGTGGCTTAGAGTGGATTAAAGATTTTCAAATTACAGAATATTGGCAATTTGTCAGGGGTATACACGTGCATTTATGGCATTTAAGGTGGTTCTTTTTAGCGCTCCTGTTTGTTTTTGTAAGGTTTTACAGCTCTCGCAGCTGCATAAGGTCATATGAGCGCCAAAGGGTGGATGTCAACAGGGGATCAGGATTACTCTGCTCAACTCTCTAGCCTCAACAGCACAAAGTCTGCTTCGACTATCAAGGCACCCCGGAAATAGCAGTTCACAAGAGAGTGACAAACAAACAAAAGAAATAGAGGAAAAGTGACGATAGTAAGAATGAAGAAAGAAAAAGCAGTAGGTCTTGGTCTACCCTGGTCGCTTTTGCCTTCTGTGATCCCAGTGAGAGCGAGATGTTCCAGACCTTTCTGTTGATTCAAATGCCTCAGAAACTACTGGCATCTCTTTGTCCTGTAATTTCATCACAGATACGACTATAGCTTGACTTGATGTGATTTCCCTCAGTCTAGTTTGACTGATTTGTGCGTAAACCTATAAAGATCGTGCTCATCTCTCCTCCTTGTTTGTTTACGTTACTCTCTTGTAACACATCTATTCTGTGACCTGATTGTGTTACAAATGCCCTTAAATTCTTACTTACACTTTAAAAAAAACTATAAATCGACACCATGTCTAAAAAGGCGGCATCTGGTTGGCCCTGACAGGCATGGTCGTAAGCCCACCTCCTATTTGTCTAAAGTGTATCGATAAGAGTCTAAAAACACATACATCAAAGATCCGGTAAGAATTAAACCAGTTGGACCGGGTATGTACATCCGGGGTTCCACTCTGAGTGTGACGTCATTTTGGTCAACGTGACGTCACGAACGATAAGACGTTTGTAGAAACGGGAGAGCAGAAAGCGGGGGCGGTGTGTGTGTAGGGGATACCTGGATACCTGGAGGTATAATTATATCAAGATACCTAGAGGTGTCATCTCTGACTCAGAGGTTGACGTGTAATGACCCTCCATCTTTCACGGTCGCGAGCTGCCGTTGCACATTCTGCCATATCCAGGCCAGTCCATGTTCTTATGTTGTCCATCCATGTTATTCTTTGCCTTCCTCTGGCTCTCCTGCCCCACATCTTTCCTTCAAGCACCTCTTTCACAATGGTCACGTGTCGTTTTAAGTCGCCATGGCATTGTATTTTTGTACATTTTATTTTTGCTCAGCGGGGTTTGTCTTGTGTGTAGAATCTGACACACCTCTTTGTTTGTCTTTTTTGTAGGGGAGGGTCGCATAAACATAGTTTACCTAACACATGGTTCATAGTATGGAGTATTTTCGGATGCCAGGCTCTACAAAAAGTAAAACGCTAATGTGTAAGTTTCTCTCCTACAAAGGCTGTGCTAATGCTATACTCTAAAGGCCATCAGGCCGAAAAAAGCACGATAAAATAGATGATCTGGGCGTAGGTAACTTTATACATTGTGCGGGAGAGATATAGGTCGGGAAATCTCTCTGACAGAGAGAGGACAGCCAAGCAGAAAATGGCACAGTAAGCAATACTGATGGAGAGTAATATCTTTCGCTTATGGTTATAAAGAGAGGAGAAAGGGGGGGGTAGTGGTGGCGATTTGATGGGGGTTTGGAGGGGGTGGGGGTGGTTTGATTGGAGTTTGGTGGGAGGGGGTGGGGCGGTTTGGTGGGGGGGGCGTGGTTAAGCTGAGGGGAGGGGGGGTGAAGTAACCCTCTGTGTGTGATCAAATCTGGCTCTATCAGGAAAAACCGCTTAATTTACACGCTTGGATATACAGATAGCCGCACGTTGATGGAACAACTGAGAGAATGCAATAACTATGGGAGGGGGGGGGGGCTATCAAGGGATCAGTTGATTGCTTCATATTAAAAAACCTCGAGCTCTGCCCTAAAGAACAATGGAGACAAGCTTGATACAACACTTGGGTGCGGCAGCAAAGAAAAAAAGAGATAACTTACAACAAAGACTGAGATGAAACATACGACACACATCTGCCTACCCTTGACATAACACAATAAAGCCTGGTGTTCGGGCGTGGTAGAGTGTTGTTGACTGGAGGTTATTTCTCTACAAACATGTGTGTTTGGGTGTGGGGGG